TTGTGTCGGGAAGGTGAGCATCATAGAATGCCAATTTAATAGAAGAAAGTATTTTTGCATTGAGGGAGTACTTGAGTGGAGGCCCAATTGGACTCAGGTTTAATAGAGTTATTTTCCAGTACTGTCATTGGCTCATTGTTTAAGTTGCGTCAGCTATTGGACAATTCTTCTCATCCTATTCCTCCTCACTATTCCCAGCCACCACCAGGGCTAACCAGTCTCATTAGTTGCTGCTTTTAATCTTCCTGTGTCTACACAACTGAGTGGATACATTTCCTTCCTTCTCCCTTACTGTCTCTTCTTTCTTAGGATATATGTATATAAACGATAAACATTTTAGTAGTTTTCTAGGGCTGTCATTACCAATTACCATAAACTTGATTCCTGTAAACAAAGATTCTCTTATACTTCCAGAGCAGTGGTTTTCAAACTTCCTAATGCCGCAACCCTTTAATACGGTTCCTCATGTTGTGGTGACCCCCTCAACCATACAATTATTTTCGTTGCTACTGTTATAAATCAGGCGACCCCTGTGAAAGGGTTGTTCGACAACGCCCCCCAAAGGGGTCGTGACCCACAGGTTAAGAACCGCTGTTCTAGAGTTAAAAGGGTGAAACCAAGTTTCTAGCAGAATCCCACTCCCTCCAGAGGCCCTAGGGCAGAAACCTTCCTGAACTATCTCAGCTTCTGGTAGCTCCTCGCATTCCTTGGCTTGTGTGCCTCTGCTTTCACACGGCGTTCTTTCCTAAACTATTTTTTGGGGCTTAATACAGATACATCATTCCATCGCTCAATCACATCAAGCAGTATTGTACAGTTGCTACCACAATCTGTTTTAAAACATTACTTTCCTTCCTGAACTCCTTGACATCAGCTCCCTTCCCCGCCTCCTGCCCCTCCCCACTGTACCCCCCAGAAACCCTTCTTCTACTTGCTGTTGTTTTCTCTGTAGGTTCCTCAATCCTGGGTTTCATATACTGAAAAACAGAAAAATACATAACAAAAATTCAAGAGGGTAACCCCAATTACATAACACATCTGAGATAAACCCCAATATGAACAAACAAACAAAATTACAGAAGATGTTGAAAACCAGATCCGGCCCTGCATGCATCAGAGGGGAGAATCAACTACCAAGGTTTTAACCTTTCAAGTCAGGTTCATCATTTTGATTTTGTGTAGTCATCTCTCCAATGTGCTCTATTTGGTAACCAGTTTCTTCCCATCCCTCTGTTAGGACAGAGGGAAATAACTGGAGGCTTAGTTCTTAGGTAGATCCCACAAATGTGTCTTGGGCTCCCACTGTCATGCAGAGC